TTCTCTTTCGAAGTTATACAGCGACACCATTTTGAATTTTCGAAAAGACCACGGTTCATTTAAAAGCTCTTTTCAAGACGAACATTTTCCGGGGTCAAAATCCGTTGGGGTTGAAATCCGTCCATATCAATTTTGGACAGAGGCTTGATCGATTTGGCAAAGAATGCCCCATATACAAGTGTTAATTTAACATAAAATGTAATTATGTTATTTAAACATTTTGTGTTAAATTGATATTTCTTAGTGTCAAAATGACATAATTTGTGAATAAATAAATAAATAACATAAAAGTGAATAATATCTTTATTTTAGACCGTACATATGAGAAACACAATCAATACTAGAAATTTTAAAATGCCTATTACGGTCGAAGTTGGATCTTCGTTGCTTAAATAATTCAATCTTGAATTACTAATATATACTATATATGACTTGCATATATACCATATTGTAGTCTTTTTCAAACTGCGCGCCGAATTATTTAAAAAAAAATAAAGTAAAGTGTTTCAGGAACGTAAATTCTAACAATAAAATAAATGAATAAAACATGAATTAATTTAACATATAATAAATGTCAATTTTACTGAAGAAAATGTAATTCCATGGTTTATTTACAAACAGCGTTAATATTATGTTTTTTCGTATTTATTCGTTTACATAATACTTGTGTAACCTTCTAACATTTTCACCTTGTCTTAAATTAACCCAAAAATTTAAATGGACCGTTTGAGACATATGATATACGTATATTAAATTCGATACATTTTTTCCAACAGTACTGCAATGAGATACGATATTTGAAAGATTTGAAAGTTTCCGCTTCAGACTTTAAAACATATTTTCAAATATTTTTCTGCGGCTATTTTTCTAATAAATATTTAACTTTGAATTTGCTCCCTTGTAGCGCTGATTGTAAGTGATTCCCTAATTTTTTTTAGCACAATAAAACACCACACACACACACACACATACACACACACACACACAAAATGTATGTAAACAAAATTCAGTACATAACATAAATTGATAACGCTAAAGTTGCAAATATCGAGAATGGTTAAGCAGTTATTTTATTATTATGGCTAAAAAAAGAAATGTATAGCAGAACAAAATCAATATCCCTATCTTACAAAAAATTATAATTCTAATTTAACATAATACAATTTAGTTTACTATAAAGTTAAACGCAAAAATTGGAATATTTAAAAATGACATATTCCATTAGCCAAAAGCAATTCTAAAAATCACATTAGAAACATTGGTTAGTATACAGAATCACGTAGAATTATATCGATATAAAATTCTATAGTATATTTATTAACGTTGACTCATATATATGTTCAATGCGCGTTCTGAAAAAGGGCCGTCAACTATAACCAGGAAATAAAAGTAACTCGTTACTTATAACAAAGTTAGTTACAAGTTACTTTTTTGGTAACTTCACTGCGTTACTTTTTTTGGTAAAGGTGACGAATTTTACAGTCGTCGATTTTAAAACGGAAAAGTAACGAAAAGTTATTTTCTCAAGTAACGATAACCATAACAAGTTGCTTTAAAAAATCGGAAATTAGTAACGGTAACCTATTACAATACCTTTTTTACTTGGTAACGAGTAACTACAACTTATTACTTTTAAGAAACCTTCCATTCTCTGACTGTAACATACATATAGCATATATTAAGTCTTATGGGAGGGGGGCACCTTATACAGGGTGGGGAAAAAGTATGGAAGCAAACAATTATTTCCGAAACTATTCATTTTTCGACAAAATGTCTTAGACATAATTTTTATGGTATGAAAAGATGTATTATGTGGCATAGACGGCATGACCTTG